TCAGGCAGCTGAGGCAGGAGGATCTCATGAGCCCAGGAGTTTTAGGTTGCTGTGAGCTACGACACCACTGCATTCTACCCGGGGTAACAGAGTGAGACTCTGCCTCAAAAATAAATAAATAAACAAACATCTAAATTTCAGACCTGTTTATATATGATGATAGAATCTGTTGACAGACAACACAATGAAATAAGTATGAATTCAACAATGCTTTAAAGTGCATTTGTGTATTATTCCTAGGAAGAGTTCTCCACATGTGGAAGACAGTCCCACAAGATGTACAAGGCGTATAATGTGTTCAGACAGGCCTCAAGGGCACACAGATTGCTGGCAAACAGATCACACAAGCAGGCCAGTCCCCGTAAATGGGAGCAGCTGACCCACTCCTATTCTCCCTGTAGGCCCCTTATTTTGCCAAAGCTGCTTTCTCAGCATTGTTCACAAAGGTCATCACCACACACTTCTTCCATTCAAGGTTGTTTTCCACTTCCTCTCAAGTAGGTGGGCAGGGAGTTCATCTTCTGCACTCCCGAAAGGCAAAACTCAGGACTAGAAACAGCAATCACTCAGGAAGGCAAGAGCGGCAAAATTTATCCTGGGCGTACAGGAGCAACAGCTTTTAAAAGGACCCATGTAAATGCTACATTTTGAAGAAGACACTTAGACCAGATCAGTCAGGCTCTTTTCTGGAAAGCTCCTCAAGAGAAGAACAAGGGTGGAAGTAATTCAAGATGGGGGCTTAGCCCAAGCTCTCTCCCCATTCCCAATTATCACTCCAAGCTCCATTGCCTCAAGGACAATGTCTATGCATCTCTGTGACAGCTGCTGGCAGGTGGTGCCCAGCTCAGAATTCTCTAAAATCTAGGTAATTCAAGGTTCAGACTAAGTCTAACACTATGGTCAACCACAGTACTTCAAGGAGCTTTCTGTTTCTTCTTGGTTTCCCCTCCCCAAGGATTTCTCCCAGACTTCTAATATCTTCATGCCAAACCCAAAGTGGGCTCAACTGCCATGTTGAACCTCTGAGCCCAGAGGAAAACAACAGTCAGGGTACTCTCAAGAAGCTGGGGACACTGTAATAATCCCTAACCTACAACAAAATCTCACCCTATCCACATACCTGACCCATCGACTTCCCAGAAGGTCAGATAACAGGGAAGATGGTATGGGGTCAGTGGAGCTGGTGGTCAGACCTGCTCAGACAGATCCTGGATTTTCCACCTAGGTTCCCTACAATTACTTGGCTTCTCACAAACACCTCAATTAAGAATGCAGGCACTAGCCAGGCATAGTGACACACGACACAATCCCAGCTACTTGGGAGGCTGGGGTGGGAGGACTGCTCAAGCCCACTGACTCTGTGGGCTCTCATTCTGCAACAGAATGTGACTCTGTCTTTTGGGGTAAAAAAGAGAGTGCAAGAGCTTATTTTTCTAAGAGCTCTGACTATTTCTATTCCTGAAATATCCTACTAGACCCAGAAAAAGAACACTACATGAAATTAATATTTTCTGTCTTTCCTTCCTCCCTTCCCTGCAGGGTAGGGAGAGTACCATGGTTAAATGAGTTTGAAAACTAACTAAGTTAAACAGTTTCCACTGCAGGACCTCTTAGAGCTTTTGCTACATTAATATACAATGTGATTCCTCAAGCCAGGGAGAGAGACTATGGCATTTTCTAAAGTTCTATTAAGCCCTTTTCAGGGAAAGCACCACATGATGCTACTGTAACAGGGAACATGCTCTGGGAACCACTACCTTGGACCTCAAGAAAACCCTAATTTGGAGTCTTAGCACAGTGCTCTGACGCAGAATCCTGCTGCCGACCCTGGAAGACGGGTAATGTGCAAGGGCCAAGGCCACCTGTCAGCCTCCTAGCAGCCCACCCTCTAACTGCTACATCTGCTTCCAAGCCTCCTGCCACATCCCAAGTAAGTAGATTTTTTTTTCTTTAAGGATAGATTCCTAATCTGTGTTTGACTTAGGGTTGACGGAAAATTACAGGAGTTGTATCTAAGATTCTTAACATAAAACAACACATATACATATGCAAATGTGTTTGTATGTGTATACATATACAACCATAAAAACAAAATAGTGCAAATTATTAGGAAATAAGGGCAGCCCCTCTCGTTCTCCCAGCCCAATACCCTGCCACAGCTTTGTTGTGTCTTCATGACTCTTCAGGTAGCTCTTACATTGTTGTCATTCACATAACTATCATATTCCAGGCAATGGGAAAAAGCCCTGGTCTTTTTCCCCCACTGCTGAATCTCTCCAGAGGTTAGGAATGGCAAGAGAATATCAACTGACATTTTTCTTTAAGTTGGGTTCCAACCCCTCCTCCTAGCCCACACCCCACATGCCACTCCCACACCCAGGAATGATCATTGCCACATCTTCCCTCTGGATTATTATCTGGGTGTTCCTCCCCTTCTAGCTCAGAAATGCCACTGGCTAAAATAAGAAGTGTTTGCCCACCATCTCTGTTGACTTTGGTCTTCTGGGTACAATGATCTTCCTTTGTTGGGCCTCATTTGTTAATGGGCCTCATTTGTTACTTTGGGCCTCATTTGTTGTTTGTCTTGTCTACCCCATTCTATTCCATGATGCTGGAAGATTCTGGGTCTTGAAAGATGGTGGTGGGCAGGTAGTACTATGGGGCATCTTTCTGAGAATATTCAGGGAAGTAGGCAATACAGGCCATAGTGGACAACTATTGTTTCTGCCTCCCCAGTATCAATTCTCTTTTTTGTAAAAGCATTTGGATTGAGAATCACCTCTTCGTTTTCTTAGTGCATACATCTGGGCGAGGCTGACATCATTAGCACTCCAGGAAAGAGAATCTAATGGAGAACAAATTTGATCAGAGAACTCTGTATTCAGCAAAGGGAGACACAATTCTGCAGGGTTGTTTTTGTGTGTTTGTTTTGAGACAAGTTCTCTTGCTCTGTTGCATGGCCTAGAGGGCAGTGGTGTCACCACAGTTCATTGCAACCTCACAGTCGTGGGTTCAAGTGATCCTCCTTCCTCAGCCTTCAGAGTAGCTGGAACTACCTGCATGTGCCTCCACACCTGGCTAATTTTTCTATTTTTTTGTAGAGAAGGGGTCTCATTCTTGCTCAAGCTGATCTTGAACTCCTGGCCTCAAGCGATCCTTCTGCCTCAATCTCCCAAAGTGCTAAGATTACAGGTGTGAGCCACCACATCCTAACCCAACCCTAAACCTAAACCCTAACTTCTAACCCCAACACTAAACCTAACCTTAATCTCTGAGGGATTTAAGGAAAAAAAATTTTTAAGTATTTGGAAGAAAGAATCTGTCTGTCCACTAGGGTTGCCAAGAGGACAGCATATTAAAGACAACTCTGAAAAAGGGAAACACCACCAAAGAAAGCAGGCCTGACAGACAGAAGAGAGCTGAAATTCTGATGGCATTGTTTGAACCCCAGATTCAGCTTTGCCTGAAGCCAAATGCATTACTAAACTTGTTAGTTATAAGAGCCTATAAATTCTTTTGTTTGAGTTTTTTTCAATTTCTCATTTACAACTCATTTACAGCGTTATACCCAATTCAGTACCTTAGGACTCCTCCCCCCAAGTTAAAATGACTTCCATATCCCTTTCATAATATCTCTAGACTTAAGAAATAGTCTTTCACTATACCATCAGTCAAGCAGGTTACTCATAGTTGGTTAATGCCTAGTACTGCCAAGGACCACGCCATATGCATGCTTAATCTTCATAGCCTATTGCAATAGGTTTTGTTCAATATCCTAACAAAACTACAGTTGAGTAATTTGCTCCAAGGCAGGCCTTACTCAGAAGACCCAAGTGGAGGACCTTAAGCTTGTCTGACCTTTTCTATTATATGGTCTATGTAGCCCCAGATTGGCTACAGGAAAAGGAAACTGACAGACAAAATTTCAGAATTCCCAGTTAGCGATTATGATTCTTTTCATCTCTTGGAGAAGAGGAAAGGATGGAGTTCCTTACAAGTCAGCTTGTTTGGTGTACATATGACCTCTAGCATTTAACAGCCCTGGCTTTTTGCTCTACCCCTAATGGATGGATCCTGGCACTCTAGATCACAGTGAATTTACTCTTAGAACATTTGTCATGGGGCAGTCTAACCTCAACCCAGACGCAGGTGCCACAGCTTGTCCCTGGTCTTCCAGCTGAGTACATCCAAGTACTAGATGTAAAGATAAACTCTGTGACTCATGTTGACATTAACCTGTTAGGTGGAAGGCTACTTTGAATCTTCACCAAGAATTGAACAACTAAAGAAAATCATAATCACAGTCACTATGTTTAACAAGTCCTCTCAACACCAGCATGGGCATGAAGTAGGGATTTCCCACATTCCAATAGGAAACTAAGGGTTACCAGGATGGAGGACACAGGTTTCAAACGTATGTTTAATCCCCATGCCTGTGTTACTTCCATGATGCTTTCCAGAAATTCAAGAAATCATTCTGCTGTCATTGGCTTATTTTTAAAAGAGAAACCAAAATCTCTTCTCAAAAACCAATTAAAAAAACACACATTAAAAAAAAATCCTTTAAGATCGTGGCCGTACAAAATCTTAAAAGATGACCCCAGTCCTCATCACCATAGGTTAAATGGGAGGAGAATTAAACAACCAACCATGTGAGTAATAAGAGGAAAGGATGGAGAGACTCTGAGAATGCGTTGCAGAGGGGGTATTGCATGGGTCGGGGCTCCCTAAGGCCTTAAGACTGAGGAGGCAGCACTGTAAGAGGAGAGAACTTGGATGGTTCTACTTTCTAGGCCTCTCACGAGAGTATTATTGAACCACACATATTAAAGTCTATGAAAGGCTTTGTATAATTTTGCCTTTTAAATGGTTGGTGATCAGCAACTCCTTTAGCACCATCAGCTATGATTCCTTGGCAATTGATCACTGTGTGTGCCTAGAAATTCTACAGAACTGCTCATCTCAGCTCATAGACTAAAATCAGAAATTGTAAGTCTCACCTGTATTGTCTTCAATATTTTAACAAGCTGGGAAGCATTTCATTTTGTAGATATTTTTGCTCTTTGCATAATTTGCAGCCAGTATTTTTTTTTTAACCTGGTTTCTTGGAAGCATTTTCATAGGTCCTTCAAGCTTACAGATCTCAGGCACAATGCCTTTAATTGCCTAAAGGGTAAAAGAGCAGGGCAATCAAAACAGAGCTTAGTACAGAGAAAAGAGCAAGCAGGAGGGTCCAGGAGTCAAGTGCACACGACACTTACAAAGCCTGAGGTCGTCTGCCACAAATAAAGCCTGGCACCATTGCAAAACATGTGGTCCCCACGAACATTCTTCCTTGAAGATTACAAAGACTTTCCAGGGGGCCACGATTCAGAGGTTGCTGGAAGAGAAAGCTCCCCCTACCATGTGGGACATCATTTGTTCCCAAAATGGGAGACCAGCTACCCAGATGGCCACCAGTGAGGCCACCTCTCTACCACAGCTCAGGTATGACAGGGGCTGAGAGAAGACACAGGAAGGCACCACATGTTATCACTGAGCTGGTTCATTACCTTTTGTCATTAAGTCGACCTCTGGCTTCTATAAATTCACCTACCATTGTTGATTTGAATATATCATTTCCCAAATTGTAGCAGAGAAATTAATAAATCAATCAATCTCTGGATGCAGTTCTCTTTAGAGGGCTGGGAATGAGGAGGAAAAAAAGGAATAAAGAATGTCTTGAGCCTTCAGAGAAATTCAATTTATAAACCTCTAGGATGCTTTGTTTCTGAGATAGAAGTCTTCCTCTATTGCTCTGGCTAGAATGCCATGGCATCAGCCTGGTGCACAGCAACCTCAAACTCCTAGGTTCAAGCAATTCTCTTGCCTCAGCCTCCTGAATAGCCAGAACTACAGACACATGTCACTATGCCATACAAAATCTTAAAAGATGATCCTTGCTCTTGCTCAGGCTGATCAACTCCTGAGCTCAAGAGAGTCCACTTTAGTCTCCAGAAATGCTAGGATTATAGGTGTGAGCCACAGCGCATGGCCTAGGATGTTTTAAAATAGGTACTGACCCAAGGCCTGTGCTCTGGGTTGGAAGACAGATGATCTGACAGGTATGGGCTAAATGTGACAAGGAAATAGAGCTGTCCCACACCCAGCACCCACAATAAAATGACAGCTTCTATTTGCTTGAGTAAAGGAGTGATGTGGCTTGGGCTCCGTGAGATGCCAAACCCTGATAAACTATTCAACTGAACTGAACTGAAGTGGCCCCTTAGATGTGGCCAGCAAAAGGACAGAAAGGCCCCACTGCATATTGACATTACCATTACCTTTCAGGCACTCACTAAAGAGCAGCCAGAGCTGCCAGCACACAGAGACGCTGAGTGCAAGTTACTTCCCGTCTGTTCTGCAGCTGGGTGAGAGCAATGGGGAGCCCAGGCCGCACATGTGCCCTGGTGCTGCATTCCCACTCAGCAGACTGGCCCAAACCGCCCACTTGTACATCACAGGTCTCCAGCACAGTGCCAAATGTGCAGTCAACAGGACCACACAGCCTGATCCTCGCTCTCCTCACCAAGCCCCCAGTCAATCCACCTCTTCAGTTGACCCTGATCCCTGCCTGACCTCAGTGACTTTCACCCCCACTTCAGGACCTGCCAAAGCCTCGGGATTCCTGTTTTGCTGGTGTTCAGTGTCACCATCTACCATGGTCTCATCAATTGCTTCAAGCCTCCTCTACTCCCTCCCACCCTTTAGCACCCTCAGCTCTGCCATTGTGACCATAAAACAAAAGGCCAGCAGCCTCCAACACAGACACCTAACAAAAAACAGCTGCCTGATGGCCCTTTGTTGTAGAACAGTGTGGACAGGCACCACAGTGTAATTCAAGTTTTTGTCTTTTTAAGTTGGGGTCTATAATTAGCTACTCCTCACCACTTTTAATTGGAAATGATTTGAAAAAATAAAGAAACTGGAGGGTTGGCTGCCTGTGAGGGCAGCTTGGATGTCAGCAAGTCCTTTCTCAGTCAACTGTCACACTGCTGTACACCGGCTCCCTTTCCCCCTTAGCAACTGTCCTGACGAGGGTGGTGAAGTAACCCCGCAGAGGAAGGCTGGCCTGTGTCTGTGCAGGATGTCACTGGACGGGGCTGAAACACAGAAGCAGGGCCTACCAGGAAGACAAAGACAGCAATTGTGACAAAGTGCACGGTTTACCTGCCTATAAAACTCGCTAGTCCCCTCTGGGCAACTGCTGCTGTAATTCAGAATGGTCAGCCAGCAAGATGGGGCAGACAGACCATGACAGAAAACCAAGCCCCCAAATGCTGGAATCTCTCTGCAAACTATCCCAGTAAGCAACAGGACTGACCAGGAGCTAAGCTAAGAATAAGGCAGAGAGCACAGGAGTTGAATGGTATTCTTAGAAATCTGAGAAGGGGCTAGAAGCAGGCTGTTTAAATAAACATTATCATTATTATTCCTCCTTTTGGCAATCATCACCACTACTGCCAGCTCCAGAAGTAGCTGTGTCAAATAGAAGGCTGGAACCGTACCCGACACAGGCATGTTTGCAGCAGTCAGGAGCACATGTCCTCTCTAGTGCTTGCAATAACCTGCCTGGCCTCTACATAACACCCTAAATTCACTAACAGTACCATTTTCAGAGCTTAAACCAAAGGAGAGGAGTCCCCTGCCATACAGTATTCGATGTCCAAAGCAATGTGGCCATTCTCCTAATTTGGGGAGGTAGAATACACAAGTGAACAATGTGGCCCCTTAGTTCCAGATCTCAGTTCTATATAGGCAGATCTGGGTTCAAATGTCAGCTGCACTTAATAAGATTGCAGTGTATGTGGTAAGCAGAATTCTAAGATGGCCACTCACAATTCCCAGTCCTTGGTTATTCAAACACAAAATCTAGGCACAGCTGTAATCAGCTGATCTTAAGATAGGGAGATTATCCAGGTGTTTAAAAGCAATGCTTTCTCTAGCTGGCATCCTAAGAGGAAGTAAAATCTGAAGCAATAGGATTATTGGCTGAAGGATGGCAGGAACCAAAGAACAGGAATGTGGGAATTATTTTTTTTTTTTTATTTTAGAGACAGTCTCACTTTATCGCCCTCAGAAGAGTGCCGTGGCATCACAGCTCACTGCAACCTCCAACCTCCAACTCCTGGGCTTAGGTGATTCTCTTGCCTCAGCCTCCCGAGTAGCTGGGACCACAGGCACCCGCCACAACGCCCAGCTATTTTATTTATTTATTTTTGTTGTTGTTGCAATTTGGCCGGGGCCAGGTTTGAACCTGTCACCTTCAGTATATGGGACCAGCTCCCTACCCACTGAGTCACAGGTGCTGCCCAGGAATGTGGGAATTATCAATAAGCTGAGAGTTGTCTGCAGCTGACAGCCAGCAAGGACTTTGGTGACTTCAGTTCTATACCCTAAATTCTGCCAACAACCTGAACAAGCTGGAAGCACATTCTTTCCCAGAACCTTCAATGGAGAGTTCAGCCCAAGTGACACCTTGACATCAGTCTTGTGAGACTCTGAGCAGAGAACCTAACCATGCCTGCATGGATGTTTGCCCTATAGAGCTGTGAAATGATAAATGGGTATTGTTTTAAGCTGCTAAGTTTGTGGGCATTTGCTATACCTGACAGAACACCAGTACATGTAAAACTCTTAGCAGAGGGCACCAGTTCAGAATGTCCTGGCATCCCTCCCATACCCTATCATCAGAGCACAACCTTCCCCTAGCCCTTCTCACTGAGAAATTAAGGAATACCAAGAGGGACTGATGAGGCAAAGACCTTTCCCTACTTCAAAAGTCTACCCAAGGGGAAGGATACCAGTTGCAATCCTAGTAGAAAGAATAACATTTTTTCCTCTGCTACTAAATCCCAGCCCATACACACACCAAATATAGATTCTATTAGTTGGCAGGGGAAATCTACCATAGGTCCTAAGTTATTACCATACACGCTTGCTTGCTGGGTGGGCCTTTATCTGAGTTCTTTTTCAAAACAGTGTACACAGCAAGCAATCTTGAGGGATAAAGTAACACCTCCATGTGGAGAAAAGAGCAGGCTTGCACAGAAGAGCTGAAGTCCCCAAGAATACATGTCGCTTAGCTGTGATGCAAACCTATTACATTATGGCATCTACCTGGTCCCTTCTACATCCACTGTGGGACATGGGAGCCAGGAGAAACCAATATAAACAAGAATAGTGCTGTGCTGAGTACACATAAAAGTTCTTTGTGTCTGACACAGGACTCTCACTGAAAGAGTAATAATCTAAGTTATTAATATATAAGTAGGGTAAAATCCCAGATCTTGATTCCATTACATCTGAGTCTTTAAGTTAGGAGATCTAAGGTCTTTACAATATAAATTTCAAAGGAACAAAACATCCTTTTTGAATTTTTTTTTCCTAAGAGACAGAGTCTCACTTTATTGCCCTTGGTAGAGTGCTATGGTGTCACAGCTCACAGCAACCTCCAACTCCTGGGTTTAGGTGATTCTCTTGCCTCAGCCTCCCAAGTAGCTGGGACCACAGGGGCCTGCCACAACACCTGGCTATTTTTTTCTTGCAGTTTGGTGGGGGCCGGGTTTGAACACACCACCCTAGGTATATGGGGCCGGCACCCTACTCACTGAGCCACAGGTGCCGCCCTTGAATGTTCTTATGGAGATAAAAATTTACATTATAGGGCTATTGTGAGAATAAAACAAAATATATAGTACACCTCTGAGATACATCAATAACTTTAGCTGGACCCCTGCCCTCTATAGTTGCCCATCTCTCACATATGCATACAATGAACCAGATAAGCATCAGTATCTGTGTTCCAGCAATCCATTCAGAAGACAAGAGATCAAACAGTCTAATATACCAATTCCGACCTTTGCATAACACTGCATCTACAACTCAAAAAACTTCCACTACGATTAACTCATTTAATCCCTACAACAGAAACAGAGGCTCAAAGCAGTTAAGTCCTTGCAGAAAGAACAGTGACCACAGATTAATCCACAAGAAAATGGCCACATGACATAACCCAGGGATGTAGGCTGAAGAAACATGGCCAAAAGCAGCTGTGATACTGTTCTAGCAAGTCGACTGTGGCCTAAAGTTATACTCTCCTTCCAGGTAAGCCCAGGGAGCTTATA